CTCCAAAGTTTCATGATTAAAAGCATGTGCCACTATGCCCAGCCCTTATAACGTCTTGTGAATGTTAAACTACTTCAAAACAATATTTTATAAAATGAAAAATGCCTTAGCTTTAATTTTCTGTTTTGGGCTTGCTTCTATGATTAATAGATAAGGAATCACAATTAGTAACTAAAGAAGAAGTGGACAATCAGCTAAAATAAAAGATATTTATAGGGAACATGTAGTAGGTTAAATTCCAAAGTACTGATTTCCTAACCAGAGAAAATCAAAGAAAGATGTTTCCTGTTGCTTTATGTTGACTACTAGTAGCTTGATATCAGACAAGGAAGGAACCTGCACTACTCACTTATGTCTCTGCCGAGAATACCTCAAGCAGTTCCATGCATGTGAAGGGTGTATTTCTTCAGTCAAGTGGGGTAAGGCATGAGTCAAGTTTCTAACTTTCCCTCTACTGGCAATCAGAGTCCCACACACCAGAAGCCGAAAGAACAGAGTTAATTTTCTGTCATGAGCCCTGAAGGCCAGAGGTAGGAAGCATGCCTTCTTTTCAGCCATTCTCAATGGCAATGTCTTAGAAAGAAGGAAAACAGTGTTGCACTGAAGGATCCGGCCTTGTGCTTCTGTGAACTGAGCACTGAAAAGAAAAGAGATAGAGGACTGGTCTACAGAAAGAAAACCTAGAACAGAAAACAGTGAAATGTGTACTTCCTCATTTAAACATTAGAAGATTGTCCAAGAAGGCTTTGTTTTATGTTATTTTAATTTTCATAAAATATATATTTATGTTGCATGTGTTCACCCCATCCTCCTGCCCTAGATGCTTTTACTTGTTTTCATGTCATATACACACATACAATTTTTATCTATATAAGATCTATATAGATCTCAGAACCATAAATAAGACAAACACATGGCATGTGTGTTTCTGAGGCTGGCTTAATTTGTTTAATAGGAATATCATAAGTTGTACCCATTTCCCTGCAGATGAGTTAACTTTATTCTTCTTTATGACTAATACAATTCATATATATATACACACATATATCACATATATCACTCATAAACATATCACACATATAGTATTATATATGTATCTGTGTACAACTATACATGTGTCACTTTTTCTTTAGCCAATCCACTCCTGCTGGAGACCTAGGTTAGTTCTGTAGCTTTAGCTATTGAGAACAGCGTTGCAATAGTCATTGATGTCCAAGGAGTTTTGTGATCTGACCCAGCTACACCACTTCTGGGTATTTACCTGAAAGTCTCCAAGTCAACATACACCACAGAGATACTTGCACATCAATGTTTATTGCAAGAAAGTTTAAAAAATAATGTATTTGATGAAAAATTTCATTGTACAAGAAATCATTTTTATTATACTAAACCACTCCTAAATTTTGTGTTACTACCACAGGGGTGTAGGATTGAAAATAGCAACTCTTCTGCTGGTGAATTTCATGGCTCTTCTGAACGCAGACATTAAGGCCAGTAAAAGGCTTTCTCCAAGGGGTTCCAGCTACTCATCCTTCCTGTTTGGTTTTTATAGTTATTTGAGGGCACTGAGAAAGGCTTCCTCAGTGTGGTTATAAATTTCTCACAGTAATTTTCATTTTGGGACCACCGAACCCAAGGATCACTTGTGCTATTGGACAGAATCCTACATAATCCTGAGGAGTAATGAATGCAAGCAGAACTTTCAATAGGAGCATAGGGGCCAGTGCTAATGACAGGATTTCCTCCCCTCGTCCTGCATTCTAAACACATGGCCACCTTGTCTATGTCTATGGCAAACAGCTTTCATTCAAGGATATACATAGGAATGTTCCACTGTTGAATTATTTTTAAGCTTTGAGAATTCCTTATTTTCACTATGAGTCCTTTGTCAGCTATGTGGTTGACCGATATGATTTGGACAAGGAGAGAATATATCTGTAGCTTGTTATTCCCTGAGCAAATGTTATAAATTTTGATAATGTTGGCCAGTTTTTCCATCCTGCAGCGTGTTTTTGGTGTATGTCTTACAGATCCTCACCTTAACCTTAGGTCCTGGAAAATTTTCTCTCATATTGTATTTTACATCTTATGTTACATGTATGACTCATCTTGAGACAATGTCTTTTAAACTGAATAACAAAGCATTAACACTAGGGCTGGATATATTGGGTTCAGTGGGTATATTGCTTGTGGTATAAGTGTGAGGTCCTGATTCAAATTTCAACCACTCACATAAAAGCCAGGCAGAGCTGTAATCTCAGAGGGGACAGGGAGATTCTGGGGGCTTGTTGGCCAGACAATCTAGCAGAAATATTGAGTTCCAGGTTCACTGAGAGACAGTCTCACAACATAAGTGACTGAGGAGGACACCAGAGTAATGGATATATAGTTACAGACACTTATGTAACACATGAGAGCATCTTACTACATATATATATATGCACATATATACAGTATGAACATACATATGAGAATTCATCTGTATTTGATTATATTCAATTTTTCCCAGAGCCATCCCTTCCCTACCCATCCAATTTTGTTTTTTAATTAAGCTCATCAAGATCAAACTGTGCTGTCCACTTCAAGTATTCTTGGATGTGTGGCTTTCCACTGGAATGTGGTTGACTTGCCAGGGCCTACACTCTTAAGGAAAAAGGATGCTTCTTCATCCAGCAGCTAACACTTGTCAATTCTTCCTTTACTCCCTCTTCATCTGTGTCCCAATGTGTGGGGTTAAGGTCAAATTATATTTTTTCTTAATGTAAGGTTGTCCAGTGGCTTCCTACCATTTTTTGAAGTGGCTATTTTGCCTCTATAGGATTTTTGAGTCTTTGCCTACAATCAGTTGGGCATATTTCTGGCTTTCTATTTCATTCCATTAGCCTATTATTCTTTTGCCAATACTACACATTTAGCCACACACATTTAGTGTGGCTAAATAACACACATTTAGTGTGGCTAAATAACACAACTTGAAATGTAGTATGATATTTATTTACTTCATATTTACTTTGCCTTGCCATATAAATCATAGAATAATCATGTTAAACCTATCAATTTGTAGACATTATTGTCATATTTTATTATATTGAATATTCCCATTCATGTTTTTAGTATGCCTCATTTATTTAAACCTTTGGTTTTGCTACATAAGTGTTATAGCTTTGATATTTAAGTACTGGAGATATTTTATCAAATTCATACCTAACTATGTCATTCATGGGAAAATAAATAAAAATCATAATCTTGTTTTCTACACATTTATCGTTAATATATAGACATACAACTGAGATTTGTTATGTTCTCTTGTACACTGGCAGCTTGATGAACTTTTTTTTTTTTTTTGCTGCTGTTTGCTTGTTTTGGATACAGACTTCTTTCTTTCCAATCTGTATGTGTTATATTTCCTTTCATTGCCTTTTGCTGCCTTGTTGTGTAGGCTTGATGTTTCCGTATTAGGTTTAAAAAGAGTACTGATAGCTGAATGAAGTCTCTGCCTTATTGCTGACTTTAGGAGAAAATGCTGTCTCCACTGTTTTGCACAGTGTTGGTAGTAGGTGTTTTGAAGTTGTTCTTAATCAAAATGAGGAACTACTTCAATTTGTTCTCGGAAGTCCCTTTTTGCTTTTGTGGCTTTTTAACCATTTCTTTTGTCTGGGGGTGAGCACAAATGTCACAGTGCATGTGTGCTTAGAAGACAACTTGTGGGAGTTGGCTCTCTCTTTCTCTGTGGATTCTGGAGTCACAGGTTTATAGGGTTGCTGGTCAGTGACCTTACACACTGAGCCATATTGCTGGTCTTTGTGTTGACTTTTGCCAACTGCCTTTCCGACTTTGATTACCACAAACTTCCCAGCTTAAAACAAGAAACAAGAAAAGAAATACCCCTACTAGATCTGGACGTTCAAACTCAAACTCACCGACTAATCAGTTTGTATCAGAGTTCTTCTGAAGGATGCACATTTTCTTGCCTTTTCTAGTCTCCAAGGGTGACTTGGATTCCTTTGCTTATGGGCCCTTTTCCCCATATTTCAAACCAGTAGTGCAGCGTTTTCAAATTCCTCTGTCTTTTTGTTTGCAACTGCAAGAGCACACTCTCTTTCCCTTCTCTCTGTCTCTCTTCCTCTATCTGACTCTGCATTTAAGAATCCATGTGGAATCCAGGCGGTGGTGGTGCATGCCTTTAATCCCAGCACTTTGGAGGCAGAGGCAGGTGGATCCCTGTGAGTTCGAGGCCAGCCTGGTCTACAGAGTGAGATCCAGGACAGGTTCCAATGCTACACAGAGAAACCCTGTCTCCAAAAAAAAAAAAAAAAGAGGAAGAGAAAGAAGGAGGAGGAGGAGGAGAGGAGGAGGAGGAGGAGGAGGAGGAGGAGGAGGAAGAATAAAAAAGAATCTATGTGGATAGTCCAAGTATATCCAGCTCATGATCCTAATCTCACTGCAAAGTCCTTCTAGCCACATAGGAAATCCAGAAGTGAGGGGGCTTAACCGGTGAACACTGTAAAGGGCCAGTTTTCCAGGCCTCTCACTTCTGTCCTTGCTGTATCCTGTTTCTCTTCTCTCTGTGTTTATTTTTATAACAAAGTCCTGTGAGAGGCTGTTCTATTTGCAACCGTGTACTTTTCTGACTGACACTCTCCTGTGAGTGGTGACACTCTGAGGGGTGTCGATTCTGGTTGTCCATGTGTACTGCGTTCCTTAGTGTCAGTGCAGTGTCGTTATACAACACAAGACTCTGCTATCCAGTGCAGGACAAGACGAAGCACACTGCCCCGTGTCTTGCGAGTGTGAGTTCAATGGCTCTGGCAGGTTGGATATGTACTAATATTTTGAACTTCCCAGCATTGCTTTCTAGTCAAACTGTGTCACCATGCTATAGCAAGCTGAGCAGCAGTGCCAAGTTAGCAGAGTACGACATTCAGCCTCTGCCAGTCACCAGCTGCACTGCCATAGTGTTCAAGCTATACCAAGTGCTGTGCAAAGGAATGAGCATCACAAAATTTCAATAAATCTTTATTGATAAGACAGTAAAATTAAATCTCATATGATTTTACATGCTACAAAGTATTGTTTTCAAAACAGTTTAATAAAGTAAAAAATTTTTTAGTCTGTGGACCATATAAAAGTAGGTGGCAGGCCAGATTTGGCTATGGGCCTTAATTTGCCAACCCCTGCCTTAATTTCATGGAATCTACATTCTAAGGAAAAAAATGAGAATAAACCATAAACAAAGAAGTGACCACATTTAAAATAGATGATTTCATGTAAACAGTAAGATATTCAGAGAATATGTCTAAGAGGGAACTGATAAACTGAACCTGAATAATGAGAAAAAGACATGTTTGAGTAAAGCTACACACAGAGCATTCTGCAAAGACAGGACACCTACATCAAGTGTGGAGGCCAAAGTTCAGTGACTCAGAGACACCAAGGGTGTATGGCAAGAACACAGGGAGGAAGTGTGGTGAGGGGGGAATTCAGGAACCAAATGCAATGGTCTGTCATGGTGAGAAGGCATTGGTAATTAGGTAACGATGGTAGGAGCTTGGCTAGGTCTCCACCAACATTAGACACCGGTGTCCTGCCCTTGTTCATTTATATGACTGTATAAGGAGAGAAAGGAAGAGAAAATGTTTTTTTTATTTTTGCCAGACAGTTCTAGAAAAACAAAGTATCTTCTGTATAATCCAGTATGTCAATGAGAATAGGCACAATGAACCACATAATAGCTTCATTCAATGCTCCTCATTCATGTTAGGATAATGTTAGGATAATTTACTTTATATTTTCTCACCACACAAATATGTTATTCACTGGATCACAAAGGGCCATTTATAACAGTTTTATGTAAAAGCCTAGTTTGCATATAAAATTTAGAATATTAAGTTCTTTATTTACGCCTTTTTCTTTTTATACTCAGACCAATGTGTATGTAACAAACTTGTTCAAGCTTCTTTCTCTGTACTGGAGGAAAATCACTTTTAATTTGTATTTGTGACAGTATTTATATCCAACAACCAAATGCTAGACTCTCCTTTTAAGTGGCTAAGCACTTAGTTAGGGTCACTTGTTCAGGAATCAATTAGTTTCAGAAATTTATTTTGATATTGAAGCCACCCATTGATAACTGGAGTAGATACTGTTCTGGACTGTTTACAACCACAGCACATGAAATGCTCATGCTTGAACTGTATCTATAACATTATCTAATGTCTTTCATAACTGTGAAATATCCTTCAGTTAGTTTCTTGTTTTCATTTATTTTTTCCAGTACTGCTTCGAGTAAATATGAGGCAAAAGGAAGCTGTAAGAGAAAAAGAAACCAAAAAATTATCAAAACTCTGTATTTTCTTTAGTTCAAAAATATATACAAGGGTTGATAAGATGGCCTAGAAGATAAAGGCACTTGCCATGAAGCCTGGGTTCCATTCCCAGAATCCACAAGGTGGAAGGAGAGAACTGACCCCTGAGGTTGTCATGTAACCTACATAGACATACAGACATGCAGACACACACATACACACACAAACACACAAATATAATAAAGTAATACAAATTGGAAAAAACTGATAAAACCTCTCACTAAATATCATTAAGCCATTAGAATTTAGCTGTCTGTAACTCTGAAGTCATAATGGGACCCTACTGGATCTCTTTTCAACAGATCTTCCTGGTTGGTGTGGGCAATTTTGGCTCTTCTAATAAAAATGATAGAAGAGCAGAAGTAAAATGAAAAAAGATAAACGCCTTATTGAACAATTCATGGTTTACTGACCATGTTAATGATGTAATCTGCAATACAAGCAGCTAAGCCATTCATCTTCAATCAGCTGATCAATAGCAGGTTACAGTCATCTCTAGGGCACACAGGCCCACAGTAGTGGTACTATATGTTCATCACTCATAAAAGAATGAGAGAGAACTATCAATACACTTGTCTGTATGAGAACCCAATATCTCAAGAGTTGCAGGATAAAATTTCAGAGAGAAAAAAATGGTGAAAGTATACCCATTGATTAAGTTGTTAAAGTTTGTTTGGTATATCAAAGTGTAATACACATGTTTCAGAAACTGCTGAGTTTATGAAATGTGAGCACATTTTAAAATTTCATAATTGATATAACTTTGCTGGTAGTTTTATTGTTCCTGCTGCTTCCTTGGCTTGCTGGTAGAATGTAGACATACCCCATATGGGTTGTAAGTAAGGGAAAGTCTGTACTGCCGCCTCAAATACCTTCTGCAGTTTGACTTATTTCTTTTTATCTTGTTCCCTCTCTCTGGTCTCACATAAGAGGTCTGTCATAATTAGGAAATTCATTAAGTATTTCTTGGGTTTGTCCCTTTGATTGAAAAATACTCTTTTTTGTTTCCCTAAATATGTTAGAATGCTTATAATATTCATATCCCCTTCCTAGAGGGAAGTCACGTCAGGTTTTTGTGGTTAGGACAAACACTGGTGGTGTCCCTAGTCAGGACTGAGCAAAGCCAGCCAGCCGCTGTCCTCTGTATGGCACAGCCAACGGGTTTGATTAAGTCAATCAAAATGGTTCTTTCCTGAATTGAACTGGGAAGAAGAGAAAATATTGGCTAAGATCTTTAAGTAGCTTCCTACTTTTTAACTAGCTTTTTCCTAAAAACAGTCTGGGTGTATGCCTGCTTTTTCCAAACTCAAAAGCTTTGCACATCTTCTCACTGAAATTTACCAGAAAAGAAAGTGTCAAAACAGGACATTTCTTTAGTTTCAAGGTATAACCGACCATAGACCATAAGATATACAAGTTGACATGAAAGAGCCTTTCTAGGTGGAAAAACCATCACAATAAGCATACACAGCATACACGTTTCAATTTTAAAAATGTGAAAAAAAAAGAACACTAGATACAAGAAAAAGGATGTACCTGCCTTTTTTCTTGAAGACAATAACAACAAATTCTTGCTTTGACAAATAGCATGTCTGGGATGCAGAAAGGAGTTACACTGATAAAATTGCTCGTTTTCCTCATTTGATAATTAAGTCATCAGGGCATTAATATTAGCTTTTAAAGAATGCATACTGAAAAGACTCATTTTTGTCTGGCAAGCACTAGGCCCCAAATGACAAGACCCTTGGGTAACTATTATTTAACTATGTACATAAATACGCATTTTCTATTTAAAAGCAAGATAGATAAGATGGAACGACCTCCCATCTTTTATTGGCAGAAACAAAAGCAGAAATGAATGCTTAAAAGTTCATTTTCTATTTTTTTTCTAGAAAAGAATTCTCTGATCAAGCAAATCTGAGTAGCACCAAACTTTAATATAGTTCCATTATCTCAGGACCTCTTAACATGTCTCCAAGGTGCTTCATGGGCACTATGCTTCTCTGCTTCTCCAAGAGTAAAACTGCCAGTTTTTAAATACAGTCTTTGGTCCTTTCTCACGGTCTATTTCACAGTCTCTATGGAACATGTGTTGGAAGCATGCTGGCTTTGTGATTACCTAGCTAACAATGCACCATTTCTCGCAGTTTTTTCCTCTAAACTCAGCATTCATTCTGACTGAAGTTTATAAGTTTGTGCTTTATTATTGTAATGATAGATGTAGTTCAAAATGGTCATAGAAAAAATATACATTTTGCTGTTTGGGAATTTCATACATGCTATAATGTGTTTTGGTCAAAGACAGCCTCTATTTTCTCTCTTCTAATTCTTCCTGTCCCCCAAACCACTTTCCTTCCTAACTTCATGGATGGTATTTTTAAACCATGGAGTTCATTTAGTGCCACTTGTACGTGCATGGGTTGTATGACCATCTACTAAATCGTGGGACTTTCTAGGGGACCAGATCTCTGAAGAAAACTGACTCTCACCTGCAGCAGCCATCAGCTGTCAAAAGCTCCTTAGGCAAGGATGAGACTCTGGGAGACACTCCTCCATCCATGCTGGGACTTTGTGGGTTTTATTTTATAGGTCTTGTGCATACGGTTACAGTTGCTGTGAATTCACATGTACAAAGGCCTTTTCATGACAAGTAAATGAAAATTTAAATCTATGTAGGAGAGCCATCTGCTCAGTAGATGGGAGCGCTTGCTGCACAAGCGTGAAGTCCTGATCCAGATCCGTGGTACCTGGGTAAAGCTGGATGTGATGCGTGCACCTCTAACCCTGCAATTGTGGGTGGAGACAAGAGCTCACTGACGACCAACCAGCCTGGCCCTCACAGGGAAAGCTCCAGGTTCACTGAGACCCTGGGCACAGGGTATAAGCTGGGGAGTGAGAGGACAGGACACCCAGTGTCCTCTTCTGGGCTCTAAAAGTCTGTGTATGGGTGTGTGCACTGGCACACACACCTTCACGAAATGTGTATAACATACCGCAAATAAATACAAATATATAGTGCTCAATCTTAAGGAATTTTATAACAGAAAATTGATCTAATTTTTATAAAAATAGTTAATTTTAATAAATTTTAAAAAGGATTAAAGAAAGGTAGAATTATAAAATACTTAATAAACAGATTCATTGTTTCAAATGAGTACGTCCCAAAGTCAACTAGAAAGTTCTCATAGATTCTTTCACATACGACAAATAGTTCCTGCCTTTGAGTCTTTCCATGTACCAGGAGCCTCAGTTTTAAAACTAGCACTCCTTCCTAAGTTTACACTATTCATTTATTTAGCAATGTTTTTTATTAGGTTATACAAATAAGATTCTGCTTAATTTAGAATTAATTCATAAAGATTCCTAAGAGATTAATAATGAGATTTCTCAGTCAACTGCATATTGGTTAATTGAGAATCATGACTTATACCATATACAGATCACCGTTAAAATGTAAATGTCACAAATTAATGTTAATCTAAAGTTAGATGAATACAACAATCTTTAGTGATGCATAAAAGCTCTTCAAAATCCTTTTAGTTTCATTTTTAAGAATGTATTTATGTGTGTCTCTGGGTGGGTATGTACATATGAGTGCAGGCATGAGTGGAATTTAGAATAGGGTGTTGAATGCCCTGGAGCTGGAGTTACAGATGGGTATGACCTGCCTGATATGGGCATTGGAACTCATACTTGGGTCCTCTGCAAGAATAGTATGTACTCCTAGCTGCTGAGCCATCCAATAGCCCTCTCCTCAAAAATCTTATGAGAATTACATGAACATCAGTTCTTAGCATACAGCTCTAGATTGGTTAGAGTTAGGCCTGAAATAGCACTTTAAAATATGGTGTATCTTGGAAAAAAAATACCATGGCTTGCCTAATTGTTTTAGGTACATATAGAGTCCTAGGATTATAAGCTTATACCTTCATTCATAGTTGAAGTATGTTTTTAAGTGTAAAATATTTTTAAGAACCAAAAAACCTGCACCTTTTGCTACTTGTAAGTCCATATCAAGAACAAGCTTGTTTCTCCTGGACAGTTTATAGTCAATGATGCTGTTTCTGCATGCATTCTGAAGGCTGCTAAGCCTCTCCAACAAATACCTCAGACACAGAAGCACCACTATCCTTCTCGGGACAGGATTTTAGTTTGGATTTAAATGGCAGCTGGACTGGCCAACATACACATTCCATTAAATATACAAAAACAACAAACCTAACAATTATACTGCCTTGTTTTTCACTTTTGATGGCATGTGCTAGATCACAATATTCAGGGAGCTTGTATGATTGATTTTTTCCTACATAAAAATGGAGAAGTTAAGTTCCTAGTTATAGAAAGGCAGAGAGAGAGAGAGAGCTTTACATCTCTGGCATCCAGGAAATGTGGAGCAGGAAGATTTGATGCTGAGTGAGATTTCTTGGTATGAAGGTTTATTGGGGATGTCTGAACAACTAAACTTTGGATTTTTAACCTCCCTTTTGCTTTTTGTAATTGGTTTGCCATGGTCAGAATCCTAAAATCATTCACATTCAGAAAACTGTAGTTAATTTTCCTGTATAAGGTGAGATAAAAATTCAGATGTTTGAGAACTATCTTAAGAAAACACTGAAGCCTAACATCTATGGCACCAAGACATCAGCATTGACTGGAATATCAGATAACTTAAAATTGAAAGCTGGTATACTAAAATAAGACTAACCTATAAATATAAGGGAGAAAGCTAACAGTGTAACTATTTTTATTCTTGTTTTTTTTTGGTTGAATTATTCTTCAAAAGATAATACCTGTATTAAGATCTAACCTGAGTTTTCAAAATAAAAATATAAAAATTTTATATTATAGCTGCTAGTCAAAGGACTGTTTACAGTGAGATTCAAGACATTCTAAGGAAGGCCAATGGAGTTTACAGTCAAAGTTAGGGTACACAATTTGGTAT